GGGGGGGCTAAAGGTAGGCAATTTGACCTATCTGCCTACAAAACTCCTGTATGCAGGGAACTTTAGATTCGATGCACCGCCCCCCTTAATACGCCCCTGTTTTGAAGCATTTTCTTCTTTCGCGCCGCCGTCGCCGGCATACCCCGCAGCAAAGCAATACATGTGATCAGCATAGTATGGAGGAGTATAGCAAAAAAAGCGGTGAAAATCACGTTACAGAAGGGTTTTAAGGCATCGGGTCCCCATCTCGCCTTAGCCGTGTACTTTTGATTGAACCCTTTATGGTTTTGTTGCTCCTGAGCAACAGGAACAGGACTTCTAGAAGCCCTGGGTGAAACAATTTTCAACCGACTTGCGCAAACTCGGTATCAAAGGAAAGCTTAGATGTAAACTGTGATTTAAGCTTGGGACACGCGCGTGCGTGTGCGGTTTGGTTTCACCGGCACCGAATGCAACAATGTTATAAATTTTCCGAAACGAGTTTTGCAAACTAGTTAAGTAAGTTTAAAGTAGAAAATCTTCTGTTTCAATTAGAGGAGCACTGAGCGGTGGTGGTTTGAAAGGACTGGTTCGGCCTATCTGGCAGCGAAGCGTCACCTGGGCCTCGCGCGCATGGGCAACCCTCTCGGCACTGCGTTTCTACCCCCTGCCCTTTGGAGAGGGCAACTTTTGGAGTCACAATAGAACACAACGATTTATCAATTTTTGACAAATTAAAAATTAGTATGGGATGGCATGTTGTGAGTCCCTGGCTGCTGAAGCTGAACAAGAGAAAATTAATTTTCACTGTGTTTTAAGAAAGAATTCTCTATTTCAGATGATGTTCGGTTTACTATTTCTGCTCGTCACCGGCGTCGGGCTGGTGGCGCCCCTCAATGTGCTCGTGGTCAGCACCGTCTCCTCGCCCAGCCACCACATCTGGGTTAGCAGGTTGACGGACGGACTGTTAGCCAAAGGCCACCACGTGACCGAGCTCGTACTCCGTCCACCTGAAAAGCACGCCAACAAGACGAGCTTTTACATCACGGAGAAGACGTATGGCGAACATCCTGTAAGAATTTCTACCCAAATATTCCAATTGCAGCCAATTTTGTGGAGTGGTCAAATTTAACTATGGAAGACTCTCATGTTTCATATTAACACTGTAAAGACAAAACTATTCTGACTTTACGATTTTTTCCGATTCATCTTCTATAACAATGGCTTTGTTTTTTCCGAAGCATTTCGTAACATTTATTTCGTTAAATCATGAAAACTTCACAAAGTCTGTTTAATCCAGTCACACACGCTGAAGTGCGGTAAATTCTGATTTTTGGATTCATAAAAATTAATTTGAAAATTAGTTCTACAAGATTTCCTATAAGACAACCCGCAAAGTTCATTTTCGACCTTTATTTATGCTTAAACCCTTGTGAAGGGGCCAAACCCAGGTCTACAGAGCAAAATATATTAAAGAAGTTGCCCTAGAATTCTCTACACTGTGCGTCTGCGTAACGGTGTCCTCTTTAGGCCCAACCAATGATTTTTATGTCATAACAGCTCTTTTTAAATAAAATTAGCATTTGTAGTATTTGTTTTTTAAATAAAGACAACAGTTTGCTAAATTTTTAAAAGACGAGTCGATTTCATGTGTGCTAAATTTTCGTGTATCTGATAACATCGATGATATTGCCAAAATAAAACGCAAATTTGGCATAAAGCTGTCGCAAACAAAAGTCATTGGTTGAACGTGGTGACGTTATCCCTTAGCACAGTTTCTCGTATGGCAACTTCCTAGATGTATTCCGCAACTTTTCAGAGATAGGTGTTTCTTCGACTATCCCTCTTGCAATCCCTATGAAAGCTCCTGGAGGACAAGTGTCTACCCCGGTAGACGGTAGACCTAGCAATGGGCCCTTCGCCAGGCTATACGAGTTATTGCTGATGTGTCAAAGGGAACCGTGGATATTGTTACCAAATTTCTCTGGAATAGAGCTTGAGAGCACTACTGAACGACAGTGTGCTGTACCGGCCCGGATCCCAACCTTGACACAAAGTCCATAGGCTATTAAGGGGACCTTTTCATTTGTAAATCTCCGATTCCGTTGAAACTGGGAAAATTTAAAGGTTATTGTAATAGCAGACGGATGACACTTAAAATTTTTTCTAAACCTCACAGTTCCTAGTGGTTTACTTGAGCCGTCCCCCCCTTTTTTTTTGTCCCAAATATCCCTCTACCGCCGCAACGGAACAAAATAGAGCAAAACGGAGAAAACTTTGGACTAAAGGACGATTTTATGACGAATTACCCCTAAGAACACTGCAAAAAATATCTTTTTCAACAACCTTACTCCTGTTCTATGCAGGGGAAAATTAATTGTGAGGTTTATGAAGAATATCAATTGCCATCCGATTTCTACTTAGATAACCTTCAAATTTGCCAAGTTTCAACGAAATTGGAGATTTACACCTGAAAAAGTTCGGTTTGTAAGAGCGGCACTATGGGAACGACCTCAACACCGCGCATCCGTGCAACATTGACGAATTTGTTTAGGACGGACGAACAAGGGCGAATCTGTGAAGGGCGGACGAACAAGGCCTAATGTGTTTATGGCGAACTAACAAAGACGTATGATCTTTTTCAGAATGTCTGCAGACCTATCTTTTCACGTCTCTCACTCTCTGATTTGACGTAAGATCACTTTGAACGAAGCATCATTGCGCCCGTCTTTGAGAATATTGACCTCAACTGAAGCGATCCGACGTCGCATCGAAGAGCATGAACCGTTCAAAGATAGGTCTGCAGAGATTCCGGAAAAGCACATGGGCCTTTGTTCGTCCGTCCTAAACAGATTAACCCTTGTTCGTTCGTCCTTCACAGATTTTCTCTTGTTCGCCCGTCCTCAACAGATTCGCCAGTGTTGCACGGATGCGTCGATGGTACCGACAGACTCAGAAAGGTTGTGTCGAACCTGACGGCGGCGACCGCGTCGCGCGGAGGTGTCTCCGGAGATTGCCACCTGGGCCAGAGCCGCCAGCCAGGCTCGAGGGGTACCTCACTCCTCTAGTACTGGAGTCAAGTGATTAGAGATTGATTGGAAATTGATTGGACTGATTGGGATTTGAATTGAAACTGATAGGAAAAGGTAATGTTTGTGACTAGAAAAAAAAATATCCTAAAATTCAATTTTGTGGGGTATGTGGGGTGCAAACTGAAGACATCCTGTCAAAAATAGTGTATGTAGACTGAAAATAGTGAAAACAACATCCCTTTAACATATTTTTGATTTATGTGGACCTTCTTCGACATTGTAAATTAAAAAAAAGTTTTTAGCGTGCTATATCACCTTCTGTGAGGGTTTAAACAGTTCAAAATGCAAGGAAATTCACAGGAAAATGCCACTAAACATACTTGAGTTTTGAGAAAATTTGATTGATTTGTGGAAATGATCGGAGTGATTGGAAACTGACTGGAATGTGATTGAGAAATGATTAGTTTTTAGACCGTACACTGATCGGACGAAGTGAGGTACCCCTCGGCCAGGCTTTTCCTAGGAGTTTCGGGTACTGTAGCTCAGCCGCGCAGTGCATTCACGTACCCATGAGTTTTCGCATACTGCATACATCTGTGCACAGGCCTATGCACAATGTACTACATATGTACCGATCGTATGCTGATGCATCCGGTCAGGTCAGAAGCCGACAACGTTGCTTCCACCTCGAGGTGGCATCCGAGGCAAACCTTGTTTGGGAATGGTTGTACTCTGACTAGGAGTCAAAACTGATTTGTTCAATGGGAAATGACTGGATCGGACTTGAAAGTAACTCGAATTGGTCGGGAAAGTGACTGGACGCGAGGAAAAATCCACTCCGGAGCACTCACAACCGAATTGTTACACATTTTTCACATACATCGGGGTATTTTGTGACATTTCGCCTTATTCTTCCTCATCGGAAGTTATTTCCTGCTCATTGAATGTATGTAACTAGATGTGACTGGAAAATTTACAGGTGGGAAACCCACTCTGACTGGTCGAAGTGCACGGAAAAAAAAGAATGAGCTAAATTAGCCAATGCATTCGCTTATATGGCCTTAGATCAGAATATTAGCTCTCCTAGCTAATTCTTAGCTAGGAGAGCTAATAAATTAGTCATGATGTTTGTCTACAAAATAAAGCAACTAGCTGTGAAAGCTAATATTTTAGCTTTCAGAGCTGGGAATTAGCTAGGATAGCTAAAATTGAAATCTAAGGCCATATTAGCGAATGCATTAGCTTATTTAGCTGATTCTTTTTTTTCCGTGATGATGCACCGTCCTCAAACATCGATCCACATAGTCTACAAAGACTTAACCCTTAGCAGCTTGTTTTTGGTGGACGGTTGCTCTTTAGATTCGTCCATAGAACGTTGAGAAATACATTAAAACTAGTAAATAACTTGATCCGATATTAATGAGGTGCTAATGAACATCTATTTTTCAAAATAACAGGGTCTGGATTTGGAGCAAGCAGGGACGCATACTCTGGCAGAGGAGATACCATTCTTCTACCACTTCTGTGAGGAATCAATCAACGTGATCCTGCAATCAAGTGCTTTCCAAAGTTTGGTGCAACATCTGAAAAGAGACAAACCTCACTTCGACGTTTTCCTGATCGATTATGTCATGGCAGAGCCACTACTTGCGGTAGGTCATGCAACGCCGTTATATAAGTCAACCATGTTCCTCCGTCTGCCGTTCTAAATTGGATGCACCTCCCAGGTGTGCTCGATCGTGAACCGTTTCGGATATAAACAAAATTGTCAAAAAGCTACGTTTTATGGCTTTTCAGAGTGTGCTAGTCGGTGCAAGTGTGCTTATTTATCTAGTGGACCACGGGGAGAAGGGGGGTAAGCGCATGCGAGTTAGCTCGTAGCGAACCAGTTTAAAAGGAAAAGTGATGCTGCACTCTCAGGGCATTCCTTTTCTTTCAGCGATACCTCCTTTCACCCCGTACGGGGGTTGACAGGATTTACACTACGCGTTCCGGTGTCCAGGAGGGACTCCTGAAAAAAAAAAAACATTACAATTTACACTGTATAATACGGACGTACGCTGACCCCGTCTTTGTCAGGTCCGACCGCCTACCGAGTGAGAGGTGGGGAGAGCGGAGTGGCCGAAGCGGGAGCGCCCCTTCTCACGTCTCACGTGGCATGCGCTCGAACAGGTACACCGATTTCGCCGGGGTCCGGTTAAGTTGCCCTTGGCGAGTGAAATTTGGTTATGCAAACTGGAATGACTGAAATAGTAAAAACATTACGAAAGTGTTGGAGTCACAGCGGGATTCATTTTGCAGCGAACAGAAATGATTGTGGAACTGATGACTCCAACGACTGTTGATTAAGTTGTTTTTTTTTCCTCCAGTTGGGCACGCTTGTGAATCGACCGCCTGTGGTAGCGTTAACTGCCTTCAACCTCCCAGAAGATATTATGGAACTCATGGGAAGTCCATACTTCGCATCCCTCCTGCCCTACATGGGCGTGGGGGCGCACGGTGGAACACCTATGGACTTTGGCGAGCGAGTCTACAATTTTGTCAAATGGGTCATGTACAAAGCGTACATTTATTGGTCTTACCGACCATTCATCGAAAACACAATTACTACGGTAAGACAATCTTTTCATACATAACAAATTATACTAAAGTCGAGCACAGAGTGTTCGACGTAGGTTAAGTTTTCAGATTGAGTGCAAATTTACAATAGGTTCCATAAATAGTTAATGACCAAATAAATTGTAAATTTTAAAGGTTTTTTTAACACCAGTAAATCGTGAGATAACTAAAAGGGCATTCCACAAAGTAGTCAATATGCGTTGCTAGGAATATTTATGCAACTTTGCGGAAACGGAAAGGTAGATCGTGAATTAGGCACTGTACCGCAAAATTTTATCAAACTACGATACAGGGCCATTTTGATCGATCCGCTGATTCAGTGGCGGGGTGAAAAGGTAAAGCCCATTAAGTAAAACCAATACTTTGCGTTCCCTCTGACTCACACCCCCCTCCAAAAGGTATCAATAGTCGGCCTATGGATCAAAATGGACCCTGCAAGAGAGCTGAGGATATCTTGAAACCAGGGGTCCGTAACTTAACACATTAGCGTTATGCGTTAGTTATATAAATTAACGTGGAACGCATTAGCGATATGCGTTAGTTATATAACGTGACGTCGAACAATTTGCAATAAAAGTTAAAGTTTTGGGTCGTCAAAAATTATTCTGGTGCTTGTTGGAGCTGGTTCCGACATTTTAGGTCTATCTCTTAACGTTTCATTGTATGGTCACAAGTTATAAGTTATTACTCTTAACGTTTCATTGCACGGTCACAAGTTATAAATTATAACTTTAACGGATAACGTATCGCTTAAGGGGAGTTTCATGTTAAGTTACGGACCCCTGCTTGAAACTTGATTTTGGACCTTCTTTTTCGATCGCAGATCTTCACTTTATTCGAGACCTGGTGCTGGTGTTATTGTTAAACTTTTGGTACTGCTTCATCACGCTTCACTTTTAACTCTGTCGACTTGCAGACGTTCCCAAACTCACCACCTCTCTCAGCGCTCTTGGAGAACGTTTCCGTGTCCCTAGTCAACACAGTACCCGCGCTGCATGGCGCTATGCCCCTGGTGCCCGGTGTCGTGGAGGTTGGCGGTCTCCAGATTCGACCCGCCAAACAGCTCCCTGACGACATCTTGGCCTGGGTAGACAAGAAGGCAGCGCCTCATGGATTCATATTCATGTCCTTTGGCACAAACGTCAGGTTAGTGTGGGAAATAAATCCAGGCGTGTCATGTTTTTTAAACAGTATATCTAGGGGTTGGGGGATAGGGGGATTCAGGGGTGGGGCTGGGGTTTAGGGACAATCCAAGAAAGTAAAGTGAAAGTTGGTGAAGAGAGTCACGGTGAGGTCAAAGTTGGTAATTTCAAAATTTAGGTGTACACCGTTTTCCGCAGTGATGACCCCCCCCCCCCTCCCCCCGCAAAGCAGACCGTCTCTCCAACCATGGTGATCCTAAAGTACGGAGTTAGATTCAGAAGTGCGTTTTCGAAGAAAGTTTGCTCCATAGCACTCAAGTAAAAACTGCCACCACACCATGAGCGTAGTGCTATATGGAGAGGCAACGAAAAACCCCTGCTGCTGTACATGGCTGAACATTTTACCAGGTTTCTTTGCAACGCGGCTACTTACAGTGACGTGGAGGGTGTCCTCTGCTCGAGAAATGTCTTTTTTTGTGACCCTTCATAATCAGAACTTCCTCCGACCAGTTGAAGTTCGGAAAACACCGTGAAACGGCGCTGCAGTGCTGATTCAGCCCGCTGCTGCCGCGGTTGGGGTGGCGGAGCGTAGG